AAGAACCTACCTCAACATAATAAAGAGCATATATGACAAACCCACAGTTAACATCACTCTCAACTAAGAAAAGTTGATGGAGGAGGAAATGGCAACCCACTCCAGTATTCTTGCCTGGAGAATCCCATGGACAGAGGAGTCTGGTGGGCTACAGTCCATGGGGTTGCAGAAGAGTCAGATATGACAGCAACTAAACATTTATACTGAGTCATATTTTTCTTCCTAGCTCAGGAACTGCTTTTGCTGTGAACTCTTCCCCCCACCCCATATTTTGAAATCATTAATAGGCCCTAAATTCTTTTTTTTTTTTAGCTTTATTGAGATATAATTGACAAAACTGTAAGATTTTTAAACTGTTCCTTGTGATGACTTGATGAACAATTTGATGTACCTATACATTGTAAAAGAATTTCTTCCATCTCATTAACTAAATTCAAATTCTTAAAATGCTGATCTGCTGTTAAAATACCCAAGTTCAGAAGGCCCATGTAAGGTGAACATACGGAAGCAATTTCTTAGCAGGAAAGACCGTATATTCATTTTATGACAGTGAATTAATTGAAATCACACAATAAGACTTAAGTCGCATGCTCTGCTGTATGCTACAATTGGATCTATTTGAACTTCTGTAACACTTTCTTATTCTTTGACTGCTGTTTAAAGCTGTTTTTGCAAAACTCAATAAAATGAATTGACTTAAAAAAAAAAAAAAGAAAAGTTGAAAATATTTCCTCCAGATCAGGAACAAGACAAGGATGTCCACTCTCACCACTTTTGCTCAATATAGTTTTGAAAGTCCTAGCCATGGCAATCAGAGAATAAAAATAAAGGAATCCAAACTGGGGAAAAAGTAAAACTGTCACTGTGTGCAGCTGACATGATACTATATGTAGAAAAGTATCCTAAAGATACTGCCAGAAAGCTACTAGAGCTCATCATTGAATTCAGTAAGGTTGAAGGATACAAAATTAAAACACAGAAACCTCTTGCATTTCTATACACAAAAGATCAGAAAGAGAAATTAAGGAAACAATCCCATTTTCAATTGCTTGGAAAAGAAAAAAATACTCAAGAAGAATAATCCTATCTAAGGAGGCAAAGGACCTATATGCAGTATAGGATGCTGATGAAAGAAATCAAAGATGACACAGAGAGATACACCCTATTCTTGGACTGGAAGAATCAACATTGTGAAAATGACTATACTACTCAAGCAATCTACAGATTCAATGTGATCCCTATCAAATTACCAATGGCATCTTTCACAGAACCAGAACAAAATATTTTACAATTTGTATGGAAACAAAAAAGACCCCAAATAGACAAAACAATCTTGAGAAAGGAAAACAGACGTGGAGGAATCAGACTTCCTGACTTCAGAGTATACTACAAAACTGCAGTCATCAAGACAGTATGGCACTGGTACAAAAACAGAAATACAGATCAACAAAACAGGACAGGAAGACCAGATGTAAACCTATGCACCTATAGTCAATTAATCTATGACAAAGGAAGCAAGCCTATACAATGGAGGAAAAACGGTCTTTTCAATAAGTGGTGCTGGGAAACTGGACAGCTACATGTAAAAGAATGCAGTTAGGACATTCTCTAACACCATAAACTCCAAATGGATTAAAGACCTAAATGTAAGGCTGGATACTATAAACTTCTTTTTTTTTTAAACATTTATTTTTTTTAAATTTATTTGGCTGCATAGAATCTTAGTTGTGGCATGTGGGATCTAGTTCCCTGACCAGGGATCGCACTCAGCCCCCCTGTATCAGGAGTGCAGAGTCTTAGCCACTGGACCACCAGGGAGTTCCCGGATACTATAAACTTCTTAGAGGAAAACATAGGCAGAACACATAAGTCACAGCGTATCTTTTCTGATCCACTGCCTAATGAAAATGAAAACAAAATAAACAAATAGGAACTAATGAAACTTAAAAGCTTTTGCACTGCAAAGGAAATCATAAACAAAGTGAAAAGATAACCTACAGAATGGGAGAAAACATTTGCAAATGAAGTGGCTGACAAGGGATTGGGCTTCTCTGGTGGCTCAGAAAATCTCCGAAACATACAAGCAGCTCATGCAGCTCTATACAAAACAAAACAAAACAAAACAAAAACAATGAATGCCAGAGGACAGAATGGGGGGGAGACAGTTAGGGAGTTTGGGATTGACACATACCCACTGCTGTTTTTAAAAGGGATAATCAACAAGGTCCTGCTGTGTAGCACGGGGAACTGGGCTCAGTGCTATGTTTCAGCCTGAATGGAAGGGGAGTTTAGGGGAGAACAGACACACGTATATGTATGGATGAGTTCCATACATGTGTATGTATGGTGATGTACGCATGGAACTGTAACAACATTGTTAACTGGCTGTAACTCCAATATAAAATTTAAAAGGTTAAAAAAAAAACCCAATCAAAAAATGGCCAGAAGATCTAAATAGACATTTCTCCAAAGAAAATATACAGGTGGCCAACAAACACAGGAAAAGATGCACAACACTGCTAATTATTAGAGAAATACAAATCAAAACTACAATAAGGTATCACCTCAGAATGGCCATCATCAAAAAGTCTACAAACAAAAAGTGCTGAAGAGGGTGTAGAGAAAAGGGAACTCTATGACACAGTTGGTAGGAATGTAAATTGGCACAACCACTATGGAGAACAGCATGGAGCTTCCTCGAAAAACTAAAAATAGAACCACCATATGATCCAGCAACCCTACTCCTGGGCACATATCCAGACAAAAACTATAATTGCAAAAGATAACGTGCACCCCTATTTTCACAGCACTACTCACAATAGCCAAGACACAGAAGTGACCTAAATGCCCCAGACAGACAAATGGATAAAGAAGATGTGGTATATATATACACACACACACACACAATGGAATATCACCCAGTCATAAAAAGAATCACATAATGCCATTTGCAGCCACATGGATGGACCTAGAGATTATCATACTAAAGTTAAGTAAGTCAGAGAAAGTCAAATATCATATGATAACACTTAGATGTGGAATATCTAAACGATACAAATGAACTTATTTGCAAAAGAAACAGATTCACAAACTTCTGAAGCAGACTTTTGGTTGCAGGGGCAGAGGAAAGTGGAAGGGAAGGACAAATTAGGAGTTTAGGATTAACATTATACACTACTATATATAACAAAGTTAATCAACAGGGACCTACTAATGTATAGCACAGGGAATTCTACTTAATATTCTGTAATAATCAAATAGGAAAAGAACCTGTAAAAGGATGGATATATGTATAACTGAATCACTCAGCTATACATCTGAAGCCAACACAACACTGTAAATCAACTACACTCCTACATAAATTAAAATTAAATTAAAAAATAAATAAAAATTAATCTCAACCAAAAAATAAAAAACAAAAAACCATGCTATAACATGGAATCTTGAAAATAGGTTAAGTAAAATAAACGAGTCATGAAGCAACAATTATTGTTATGATTCTGCTTATATGGGGCAAATCCAGAGACAGAGAGACTAGATGAAAGATCACCAGGGGCTGGGAGAAAGGGAATGGGGAATTCCTGTTCAATGGATACGGAACTATTTGTGGTGATGAAGTTTTAGAAATGGATGATGGTTATGACTGCACAACAATGTGAATGTACTTAATGCCACTGAATTGTACACTTTTTTTAAAAAAAAGTGGTTAAAATGATAAATTTCATGTTCTATATGTTTTATCAGACCTCTTCTTCATGGGGTGGCAGCAGGTCATCTACTCTCCGTGGCCCCAGCCATCCCCAGACCTCAGCTTCTATCACAGTTCTTCTCCGACATCCTTCTCCAGCATGCTCCAACATGGAGGGCACATGTCATTGTTCTCAAAGGTCTGAGTCCGGTCGTGGACTAGGCAGAGATCTCTCTGGTCCCTGGGCAGGCTGGCCAGGGCTGGACCAACCTGGACACTTCACTGTGGCAGAGGAGACACTTCACTCTGCAGAGGAGAAATGCTCCCACGTGCCTGCGCCCCTAAGCTCTACTCCCTTAACAGTCTTCTGCTCAGGATTTGCTAAATAATGAAGGCAAGATAACCCAGGGCACTGGCCCACTCTCACTTCTCCTTCTCAGGGTGCCTGCAGCCGGCTCTCCACCCCGTGCCACGGCCAGGAGTGGGATGGCCTCTCCTATTCGCCCCTGGCAGTCCTGGTGCCCAGCCCTGGAAGGAGACTCCCACCTTGGAGCCACATGTCCCTGTTCCTGAGACCCATCCTAGGGGGCTCCCTCCTGCCCGTCCCCCTCAACAGCCAGGCCTTGAGCTGGGGGAGCAGAGGAGTCTCAGCCTCACAGTGTTGGGAGGTGGTAGGACCCACACGTGCTCACAGTGCCCGGGGAATGGGGGCAAGGGGAGCGCCGAAGAGGGAGGGGCCTGCTATCCAAAGGGCAGAGACCCTCCAACCCCAACAGTGCCCTCTCCGGCTCCCATACTGGGTGGGTGGGTGGACAGACTGACCGACAGGGTCAGGCATCACAGGAAAGCAGCCCCTTCCACAGTCCGGGGCTGCCAGTCACTGGCACTGTGGAGCATGAGGGGTGGGAACTATGGAGCCAGAGAAAGACAGGATAGCACGTGTGTTCGTGTGTGTGTGTGTGTGTTGGGTGTAGGAGGGCAGTACAGGGCTGTACCATGGTGGAGGCATTCAAGGCTTCCTTCTGATTCTGGGTGCCTGTACCCTGACCCCCCTGTTTCCTGGAACCAGCCTCACCTCTGTGTCTACGGCTGTCTGTCCACTCCTGCAGCTCTGAGTGGAAGATGAAGGGAGGGGACACTTCACCCACTCCACCTCCCAGTCAAGGGGAGAAGATCCTCAACCACACGCATCTTCCTGGGCTGCAGGGCAGCACACCAGGCCACGCATGGCATCCAGATGGTGAGCTTGGAGCTGGACACCTGGACTGCATGGTACCTCTGGCCAGGAAGAAGGTTTTGGTCAATTCAGGCCATGACCCTCAACACCAGTGACGGACGCAGTGAATATGGAGAGACAACATCAAGTGAAGAGGTGACGTTCAATGAGGCAGAACGAAGGTAGGGCTCCCACCCCCTTCTGAGCACTGCGGCTTTCATCACCGGAGTCCTTTGTCGCAACTAACAATTCTCATTTAACTCTGAAATCGATGAGCAAACACTGGTTTTGAAAAATTTCCCAAATTTTATGATCAGAACACTGAATGCCTTACATGATAAGCCAGATTTCTGTGTAATTTTAAGCCTGTGGTCAATTGCACAACAAACTTGATAATTCTGGTGAAGTCAAATTGCAAAAGAACTGTGACCCGAATAATACGCTTACCCACATCTGAAGCACCCATGCTCAGACACAGTCTCTAGAACTGCACAGCTGGAAGGCTGACCAAACTTTTTTGAAACAACCCTTGAAGAAGGTTCTTCATAATTTCCTGCATGCATGTGTGCGTGTGTACTTCCTTTCTAGCTCTGGCCAGTGGACCAGACTAGCATCAGATCCTTGGGGTCACTGAGATCCCGGCCTTTGTCAGTTACCCAAGAAGAGAGGACAGAACTCTGGAGAGGGGCCCGCAGTCTCGGCCAGGCCTGCACGCGAAACAGTGCTCAAGACCTGCTTCAACCTTTGAAAAGCTCCGCCAGGCAGGGCCAATGATAACAGTGATTCCGCTCTGAGCAAGCTGGGGAGTGTGTAAACCTCCAAGATCACAGACGCCTCAGGGTTCTACAGGGGCAGCCGTCTGTTTCAGCCGTCCCACTTCTAAGAATTCATCCAAGAGAGAACTGTGCATGACTGTGAAAAAACAAACCTAACAGGTCTGTCCTAGATTGTTTAAGATGGCAAACAATGATGAAAGCTGAACTGTCCACTGTTCGGGGACAGAGCAGGAAAAGGGGGGCCCAGTCATGAGAAAGGACCCCATTAACTATTTGCATACTGACCGTGTAATCCTCTCACTACAGACACAGCGTGAGCTAACCTGGGCAATTAGGTCAGCTCGTGGGCGCTAAGCCCCTCGGTTCCCCAAGCCTGGCAGAGTGCCTCAGAGGTACCTGGCCTTCACCTTCTCTCTGAGTCCAGGGGCCAGAGTGGTGAAAACAATCCCAGGGGGGAACTGTATAAAGTGTGGTGGAGGCACCGCCATCCTCCCTTTTCTGGGGGTCTCTGGGCAGTGGGGGGCGGTTCTCCAGTGAAGGATTCAGAGCCGGCCACCTGCCTGCAACCTGGCCTTCCAGTCCTGGCTTTGACCCACTCTCCTACAAGACCTGTAATGAGGTTCTCAACCTTCCAGGCCAGGCTTTGGGTGGGTCAAATGATTTCTGTCCTATAGCTTGCCACTGTCTGTTCACAGAGCTCCACTAAGCCACAGAATCAGAGTTCTAAGTACGGCAATAATGAAAGGGGCAGCCACCCATCCTGAGCACCTCGCGTGGCTTTATCACACACTGTGAACCCCCCAAAGACGCTGGGTGAGTGGGCCTCACCGTCATCACCGTCAGTCCGACATCACAGAAACGGAAGCAAGCCTGCAGGGGAGCCCCGACCCGCTTCAACTCAAACACAGGACCCGCCCAGCATGGGCCTGACCAACAAAGCCGCCTCCTGGGAGTTACAAAAAGTCGCCATCGGTACATGGAGTGGGAACGAGGCACCAAATGCCCTCCAGGGCTCTGGAGGCCAAGAACTGGTGAAGTCCAGCTGCTTTCCCGCAGCCTGGCACAGCCTTCTTGACGGCATGGCCGCCTAATGGGCCAGCCCTGGGCGGGAGGTGAGCTTGAGGCGGAGGAGGAAAGGGCCCAGGTCGGAAGGGACTCGTCAGAGAGCGATGGCCGGGTCAAGAACCCTAGGCAGCTGCCTCCTCTGGCCATGGGCACCTCGCTGCCCACCCCCAGCCCAGGTCACCTGTCCTTCCAAGACGACCCCGCCAGCTTCCTCACAGCCCCAGGGCCCGTCTCACCCCAGGAGCCCTGCCTCCTGCCCCTATCCCAGCCATCACTTGTCACCGAACCATGAGCCTCACACTCTGGGTTCCAGGCATCAGGACCACCTTCCTTCTGTCCCACCCAGGGTCTTTGCACATGTTCCCCTTTCCGGGTAACGGGGTCCCCACCTCAGCACACCAGGGTCACTCCTTACCTTCCTTCAGGCCCTGCTCAGCCAATACTCCCTCTGAGAAGCCCCCCTTGGCCACTGGCCACGTCCATCACGGGGCTTCTCCTTATACCACGTACAGAGACCTCCACTGTAAGAATGAAATGAGCTGTGAAAACCCATCGCCCCAGCCAAAGGCTCTGCGGCTTCGGACCCAGTGCAGAGCCTGGCCCTCTGTAAGGTGGAGCATAGATATGACGGGGCTGGGCCAGCATGCAGCCTACAGCGCCCACAGCGAGGCAGTCTGACACGTGGGTGCTCAATTCATACATTTGTGCCGGGGCATAGAGAGGTACCACTTAGACAGGGGACAGGGTGGGCCTTCCCTGGCAGTCCAGTGGTTAAGACTCTGCGCTTCCACTGCAGGAGGTGCAGGTTTGATCCCTGGTGGAACTGAGACCCTAAATAAAAAAGAAAGGGCACAGGGAATCCTGACCTGGTGATGATCCCCTGGGTATGCAATTATAAATATATAATTTTTACACAAATAAAAATTCACCATCAGTATACTTTCATGTTGGGGCTTCCCAGGTGGCACAGTGGCAAAGAATCTGCCTGCCAATGCAGGATATGCAAGAGACGTGACTTCGACCCCGGGGTCGGGAAGATCCCCTGGAGCAGGAAATGGCAACCCACTCCAGTATTTTTGCCCAGGAAATCTCACGGACAGAGGAGCCTGGCAGGCTCCAGTCCATGCGGTCACAAAAGCACAGCAGAGCAGGAAATACTTCATGTTTATCTTTATAAATACTTTATCTTTTAATTTAAAAGATTTATTTTCTTCAAAAGTCAAGTTTCTCTTCCTAAAACTCTCATCTCCCACATCTTGGTGCCAAATAAACAAATGACTCGGAAACTCTCCCTTCCTCTCTTGAAACAGCTAGCCATCTGCCGCCTCGGAGACGACTCTGGTGGCCTGGGCCCTCCTGGGGCTGAGGGTGGGCCACAGGGCAGGGCAGAGGCTGCTCAGGCTGCCAAGAGAGCCCCAGGAGGGACCCCCAAGCCTGACGCCAAGCGAAGGCCAGGCTTTCGTCCCCAGCTCTGCCGGGACTTCTGTGTGACCCAGGCTGGGGGTTTCTGGTTGCTGACGCGGGCACTGGCCTCTGCGGGGCCTCCGATGTCTGCAGCTCCTCCCTCCTCACCTCTGCAGCCCCCACGGCGCCTGTGAGACCTCGCACCCTGCATTCCAGGCGTCTGCCCTCGGTTCACAGTCCCCGACTCCCACCATGAGCGCCCTGCTGTCTCAAACCCCCGTGGTGGCGGTCTCGCCAACAGCAGGGTAAGATGGGAAGCCTCACCACCCAGGGCCAGCTCCCGGGGTTCCTGCCATCTCCTCCTTCCCTCGCGGGCGTGTCTGTGGATCCAATCTGTGTTGCTGGCGTGCTCCCACAGAGGCACTTGGGAGGCAGGTGCAACACTGTGGTCTCTGCCGGGGACTCAATTCCCACGGGGACCCTCCCTGACACGCTGGGGATCAGGGACGAAGCCTCTGGAGCTGGCTCCTGAGAAACAAAGGAGCCTCTCCAGACGAGAAGGCCCCTGCACTCGGGGCTGCCCCACGCCTGGGTGAGTGGGCTCTTGCAGCAGAGAAGGCCCAAGTGAAAGTGAGGATGTGGAGGGACCCACTGCGGTGGGTCTGGCTAAGTCTGAACCAAAACCAGAGGTGGGCTGCAGGGACAGAAGGCGCTGGCATTGTGCCGCTTAACACGGTAAAGGCCTAACATCAGAAGAGAGACTGTTCTTCCTTCTCGGGGGCTCTGAAGGTCCCCTTTGGGACGGGCACGGTGGCAGAGTGACCGTGGTCTACCAAGATTCCTATTGCAGAGCCATGACCATGTTTGTTTACTATCAGCAGGGGATGGAGCTCATAGCTCCCAGAGCCAGGCACAGAACAGACACTCAATAAACGCTTGTTAATGTGGGGTGTGTGTTCAGTTACTCAGTTTTGTCTGACTGATTGCAACCCCATGAAGTGTAGCCTACCCAGCTCCTCTGTCCATAGAATTTTCCAGGCACGGATGCTGGGGTGGGTTGCCATTTCCTCCTCCAGGGGATCTTCCCGACCCAGGGATCAAACCCACGTCTTTTGCATTGCAGGCGGTTGCTTTAGCACTGTGTCACCTGGGAAATCCACGTGTTATTGACTAGTGTGTAAAAACACAGTGTTCACTTCACAAGAGGAGGCAGACATGGAAAGCAAGGTACAGAGGGGCAGGGACAGCTCTTGCAAGGGGTGGGGTCGGTACTGATGAATCTGCCCACCTTGGCCTACCCATGGGTCAGTCCCCACCAAGTCCTGCTGGCATCCTAGCAGTATCCCTACCACTGGGACACAACTGAAAAATCAAATGATTTTTCCCTCAAGTGGAGACAGGGGTGACACAATGAAATATCCTCACCAAAGACTCCCAGGCCTGAGTCTGCTCACACTTCTAAATCCACCCACCGATTCAGAGGAAATTCAAATGTCAGAGGAAGGGGTGAAAGGACACGCGGGATCCCACGCACGGAATCCAGGCCAAGGGACATTTCTTCCACAAGTTCAAGTGAAAAACGAACAAGGTAGAGAGAGATTGAGGGAAATCCAGACATCAAAAGAGAACGACCTACGGATCTCATTCGGGTCCTGGGAATTTGGACACCGACTGGATGTTGGAGGGTATTTAGAGGTCACTGTGTCAGATGTGACACTGGTCTCGTGGTTATGTTGCTTACAATGACTCTTTCAGAAATGCCTACTAAAGTACCAACAGAAAAAAATAAGTGGTATCTGGGATTTTGTTTATAACCCAGGGATTCGGGGGGCAAACAAAACAGGATCACCCATGAAGGGATGGCATGTGGGGTTCAATACGCTCTTCTCGCTAATTCTGTATGTGTTCCAAATTTTCCATAACAGAAAGAGCTTTTGTTTTTGCTGTCTGTTTCAAATCCCAAATCTCCCTGCTAACGGAGTAAAGAAGGCAGAGTGGGAGAAACGCTGAGGCTGGGAGCCTGGTTTCGGCTGAGGGATTCCACCTTCTCCCACAGAAGTCGGGGCATTCCACAAAGGTTTGCTACCTGCTTCCTCCTTCAAACACATTTTCAATCAGTTTTTAAAATCTCAGTTAAGAAACACCCACCTCACACTCAGATGTGAAGGATTCAGGCTGGTGGAGGCAGGGCCAGCCCACATGCTATTTTTGATTGCCTGTGAAAGATAAGCATCGAATTAAAAGGCATGTTTACAAACGTTCCCAGCAATCTGACACAGTGATGTGACATCTCTTGCATTTCCTAGTAAGATAAGGGGCTTAAAGCGAGGTATCTTTGTTTTTATTATAACAACTTTAATTACATTAAAAAAAATAATTTCATGCAAGATTAAAATTTAAAAACCAAACAAATGTGGTCCTTCAGAGGGAGGTGAAGAAACACTACCATGGACTGGACATCAATCCCTGGGGGCCCAGGCCCATCTGCCGAGGTGGCCTGCCCAAGGCCCCAGGACAAAGTGTCCCTTCCCACTGCTGCCAGCAGCAATTCTGGCATCTGCTGCAAGCACAGGGCTGAGCCGAGGGCAGACAGCGGCAGCTGCTTGATCTCCAACCCACGTTCACGCAGGCACTACCACAGGCTTGGAGCCACGCTCCACCCAAGGCCACAAGGCCTGTGAGGTGCGGAGCATGCCCCTCGCAAGGTGCCATCCCAGCCACAGCATGGCAGGGATGCCAGATCACACCCTGGAGCAGCCCCGGGGGCAGCCACCTTCATCTATAAACCAACGGTGAGAGATGAGTCAGCCAACTTTGCCACACATGCCCACTGCTGTGTCCCTTTCAAGCTGCTGGAGGGGCTTAGCCGCAGAGAGCCCTAAGGAATGCCAGGCCAACTGCTTCAAAAACGTCCACTCTTTCCCTCGTGTCAACTACAACAGGTCTATCGCTGAACGTAAGTACAGAAGTCAATCAGGCAGCAGGGCTGCTGGAGACGTCAACCTGCACCCACGCGTCCTGGTTTCAAGAGTTTCACGGGTTTCATGGGGTTTCCTGGTTTCACAGAAAACAGCACTGCTGTTCTATGACATGCAAATAAGAAATGGAATATTTCCTGCCGTATCAGTAAACGACGATGTCACAGTCATCAGCAATTGCAGCCACCGCCGATGGTGAGCTGCTGAGACCTGCGGAAACGTAGGAGGGAAGGGCTACCTGCCATATAGCAGCCATCACACTGCAGCCACTCCAGACAGTGAGCCCTGGGCAAACTCAGGATCCTGGCCCCTGAGCGCCGAGGGGCATGCCAAAGGAATGACTTCAGCTGAGGCACACTCACGTATCTTCCCATACACAGAAAAGTGCTAAACCTCTTAGCTTGAGATATCTGGCTTTCTTTAATTCACAGTAATCTTTTGACATTCAGACTACCTGCCCTGGCTCCTCCCCTGACTTCCTTGGAGCAGCTCTCCAGGATGCCGCCTTCTGGACATGAAGTCCTAAAAATTCTCGCCAAGTCAAACAGAACTCTCAACTTTAAGATTGCAACCACTTTTTTTTTTTTTTTTTTTTACAGTTATGGAGACCAACGAAGGGACCAGAGCAGATTCCTCCCCTTCACCTGAACTCTACAAGCATCTGGAGCCTTAGTAATCAGCAGAGGCGACTTGTGCCCACCCACCTCTTGGAGGAGTCCAGACAAATCTGGGTGAGTCTCTCTTTAGTTCTAGGAGCTCCCATTATTGGTTGATGATCGTTAAGTTTCAGATACTGGGGGAATAAGTTATCTTTGAAACTTAGTTTCCAGAAGTGGTACCTGGGTTATCCTCAGTTGGAAGTACTGGGAAGATTTTGCTCAGTGTAAAAGGCACTGGCAGGTTCAGTTTAGATAGGAGTGGTTATTCTCAGCTTAAAGGCTGGGAAGACTGCTTAGTTAAACATTGCGTAAGGTTCAACTCCCACCTGAGTTATTAGGGGGAAGACCGGCTTGTTGGTTTTCCTTGAATTGGTGACCTTAATAGAGACTGTCGAAATAAAAAAAAAAAAACACAAAACTGAAATTTATGAGTGCTTCTGAGCTCCAAAGAAGGGACCCTCTCCCTCTGGCTGGCAACAGCTTTCTGAGGTGACTGAGAAATCTGCAGGAGTGGTGGTGGCCAGACCCCACACTGTGCAGCTGTCCCTACAGGGAGACCCACTCATTTCACTAACAACCTGTGCATCCAGGGACTCGAAGAAGAACTGACCGTGCTGTGATCTGAACACCATGGTAGTCTTACGTGCCACTAGGAGAACCCAAGAAGCCTAAGAGGGAGCTGAAACAAAATCTGACGCCAAACCTAGAGGGGTTAAGCTCTCAAGCAGCATGCCGAGGCATCACACAATCATCACCAGCAATTTTATTTCAGCAGTCCAACTTCAGAATGGGAAATAAGGGTTACAAAATAAAAGAAAAAGGAGGACTTCCCTGGTGGCTCAGAATCCAACAGCCAATGCAGGAGACAAGGGTTTGATCCCTGATCAGGGAAGATCCGTCATGCTGCGGAGCCTTTAGCCCATGCACCACAACTGCCTGTGTTCTAGAGCTTGGGCGCTACCACTGCTGAAGCCCGAGTGCCCCAGAGCCTGTGCTCTGCAAAAACAGAAGCCACTGCAATGAAAAGTCTGCGCACTGCATCTAGAGAGTAGCCCCTGTTTACCACAAATAGGCAGAGTCCGCACCGCAATGAAGACCCAGCACAGCTATAAATAAATAAAAGGAACGACAGACCGCCAACCTCCAGCTAATCCCCCAGTCTTGTAATGTACAAGTACCTACTTAATTGGGAATTAAAGGAAATCTCACCCTAAAAATGAGGGGCCTCTATTACTGCATGTGCAGTAAAATTAAGATTAAAAAGCTGGCTTGACAGAAATATCTTTTCAAAATTTTGATGTTAAACAAAGTCCTTCCAGGGGAAAGCTTGCATTTCTCTTCCTGAGTCTTTGAGATGTAAAAGTTCTATGTGATCTCCCGAGGACATTATGTGTGTGTGTGTGTGTGTGTGTGTGTGTGTGTGTGTGCATGTACTTGTCTTGAAAACTTGACCTCTGCCATACTATTTTTGAGAGCAAACTTTCTGGATTTTGCTTAGGTTATATCCTCCCCCACCCTCTTATGAGGAAGCCTCTTGCACCTCAGTAGTTTGAATCACTATTAATAGATATTTTATTAATGGCCAAATGATGGATTCCTTTAAAACTGGAGAAACAAACTGGTGAATCTATAGCATTCTCATTATAAAACTGTTTTATTGGTACCCAT